ATAATATAAAATTAGGAATAAAATCCTTTACCTAGCAACCTTGGTCTGAACTCAGAATGAACCCTGTTTTCACATTCTTCTGATGATTACTTTCCTTGTGCTTTTAATTCTTGGTATACCAAAACTCAAGGTATCAAACATAGAAAAAACATCAAAGAGTAATTAGCTCTTCTACTATTTCCTTATTCTCTCTCTCAGTATTTTATGATTTATAGTTACTATATTAATTTTTAATTTTAAGCTTTAAATTGATGTTTGTGACTAATTCTACTGCCAATCTGATTATTATTTGTAAGTAAACCTTTTTCTTAGCATTTCCAATTATGTTTGTCATGGTGTAAAATATTTTTTAAACATTAGTATTTTTGTTTACTTCAATACTTAATAGAACCTCTACTATTTTTGCGAATTTTTTTTTGAGTCTTTGTTCCAAGAGGTTTCTATTTTCTCCTCTAAAAACTATTGTTAGATATTTTTAAGCTTCCTGGGTTAACCGTGCATTCCAGATTTTTTTAATCCCTTTTTTCAGTGAGGTATTTTTTTTTTATATAGGATGAGAAATTTCCTCAAGATTTTATTTTAGATTTTTTTTAATGTTTTTAAAACTTACCCAAGCATGTTGAATTTCTTAGAGGTCTTATTTTCTAGCTGTTCTTCCTTTGCTTCTTCTTAAATGGATTTATCAGCTCAAGTACTTCTGAGTGAACTAATTACAAGAATTATTGTTCTTCTTTACTGAATTATTAGTCAGTACTTCTAACTGTTCCATGTCACTTTTTTCCTTTTGCATTGTTGGTTTATCTCAAAAGTCCTTGATAATTATTCTCCAATAGACCCTGCAAATGTGTTATCTAAGTGTCAAGTTCTTAGTTGTCAGATTTTATTTTCTTGTGTGTTTGGGAGCATACCATCTCTTCGCTTCCAAATATACACCCATACTCTATAAATGATAAATATTAGGACAATGAGGACATTACTAGAACATTCCAACACTGCCATAGGAGTTCTAATATTCCTTGAGGTGGTGGAAGGTTATTATTGATACTCTAAGAAGTTATGGAGTGCTCACAATGAGCAAACCACCACCTGTTAGCATCTGACTTCTGGGCATGCACAGTACAAGGGCTATGGTTCAAAACAGTGCAACTGATCAGGAAATTGAGGCATTTAGCTAATAAGATGTTTTAATCTTATTTAGCATCCCATTTTTTTCTCCCTTATGAGGAGCATCTCTAGTGTTTTGATGGGATGCCTTTTCTTTAGATATACTTTTTGATTTCTTTTCACCTCCTGTTTTGAGTATTGATGTGGATTTCATAATTTTTTTTTAACATTCTGGCAGATACTTAAATAAAATTTATAAGAGAGAGGTAGAGAAAACCAGTGCTTAGGTTGACATTCGCATGCATAGTGCTTTAGAAATGGAATTAATGAGAAATATTAGTATTTCATAATATTAACAAATTCATCTAATAATATTTGCTATTTATATTACTAATTGAATAGCATGCATGGTGTTAGCATATGGTATAGATACTAATTAAATAAATACATAACTTTATGTTTTAGTTAACTTTTGCATCACTGTTACCAAAATGCCTGACAAGAACAATTTAGAGGAGGAAAACAATTTATTTGGTTTACTGTTTCCGCATTTCATTCCCCGGTGTGCCTGCTCCATAGCTGAGCCTGAGGTGAGGCAGAACATAGTAGTGGAAGTGTATAGGATAGGAGGCAGCTGAGGACTTGACAGCTAGGAAGCAGAGAGAGAGAGCTCTGCTCCCCAGGAACAATAATATAAACCCCCAAGTCATACCCCCAATAACCTTCTTCCTGTGTCCATATTCTACCTGCAGTAGTTATTGTTCAGTTCGTTCATCAGGGAATTAATCCACTAGTTAGTTTTCTCCTCTCATAGTGAAACCATTTCACCCCTGTAAAGTCACCTCATGTCTCACACATGAGCTTTCGGGGGACACCTCATATCTAACGCAGAACACCAAGCAAATGTAACTTATACTTTAAATGATTTATCTAGTTATTAATATTTCACATTAGTACATCTTGGTGCTTAAAATGTTATTTTGCATATTTCAGTATATTATTAAGTATAATATATTATTAAACTAGCACTTGATGTATGTATTTTTGGTAGTGGGAATGGGATGAATTTCTGAAAATTATGTTTGACTCAAATCTTAGGGACTTTGTGAAAATAATAAAACATGGGATATCCTTTGAACTATCATCATAATAAAAGAATATCCTGTTCCAGTATGTTGTTTATTTTTATATCACTTTGGCTGATTTACTTTTATTTTTACTTTTATTTTTATGCTCTTTTGGAGGGCAGCCATGGTAGTGTAGTTGTACTTCAGAAAGTGCGGTTGGGAATGTATATATTCTTCCCATTAATTTTTCAGTGGTTTCCAAGTCAGAAGTCTGTGTGTCAGCAGTATTTTATTTTATTGATACTGTGTCAGATCTTTTGGTATTTTTTTCAGCTAGATAGAGACTACTTCTGTTCACTTTCATCATTCATTGAACTTCAGTCTCTTTCAATTTATCAATTTGGTTTTCTAGAGGGAGGGAAGGAGGAAACAGCAAGAAACAAGAAAATTATCCAAGTGTCATTACAAGAGAATCTCCATGACAGTGACCACATTCTTAAACTAAATTGTTTGCAGTTTTTCCCCATTTTTGTGCACTTTCACCCTTTATCATCCCTCTCATACACAACTGATATCTTCTGACACCATATTTCTATATATGACAATGCTGAGTGACATAGGGATGTGTGAAATGTGCCTTCAATCATATAAACTTTAAAAGTGCCAGCTTAAAGAAATGTATTTTAATCAGTTTTCACTGATTAGCATATGAAAATATGCTATTTAATATTAAATGACAAGGAAATGAATACCAGTTGGCCTCACTGTTTATATAATTTTAGTGCTCCACAAAGAGTCTAGTCAAGTACCCCAAGTGCCACCCTCAAAAGAGCTGTCATTAACATTACATAAAAACCACCTCTGGTTTTTACAATGTGTCTAGCCAGGTGTAGTCATGAATTTATTTGTGTTTAGGCCATTCATTGATTCTTATCCCTAAGCTGAATATTTTGATTCAAATATGGATATTGTGACTTGCATGTTTTCAACTTTTTTAAGTATCACTAAATTCAGTTGTTTGCTTTATTCTGCATATAGTGAATTTTTAATATTTACTGGCTTGAATTCTGTTTCTTTTTCAAAGTAGAATGGCTTTGAATATAGGTCCACATTTAAAGAAATTCTTTTTTTGTTTGTTTGTTTAATTTGTAAATTCTTTTCTATATTCTTTTCTATAAAGTAGTTAATTTGTCTTACTTTAGGAGTTATCTTTTTCAAAGTTCAAACTGAAAATAATTTGTGTTTTTTTTTTTTTTTTTTTTGTATTCTGGATTGAAATCAGGGGCACCTGAACACTGAGCCACATTCCCAGCCCTATTTTGTATTTTATTTAGAGACAGCATCTCACTGAGTTCCTTAGCACCTCACCTTCTTCCTGTGTCCATATTCTACCTGCTATAGTTATGGCTATAGTTATAGTTGCTGAGGTTGGCTTTGAACTCGCGATCCTCCTGCCTCAACTTCCTGAGCTGCTGAGATTATAGGTGTGCACCACCATACCCAGCTAAACTGAAAATAATTTTGATAAACATTTACATTAGAAAGAATTAAGATCAAGTTAAAAATTATGAAATGGCAATGTATTTAGTGTTGAAATAATAAAACCACCGATTATAATAATTTGTTAGATTCACAAATTATATAACCCTTGAAATAGGCAGAAGTTCTGAAGAATGAATAACTAAAACCGCTGACTTCATGTATATTTTACATGCCTTTTTATTGTTAACTTATTAGTTTGTTTTTTCTAGGAACTCTTTTGATTAAGTTCAGGAGTTTTGTTATTATTGCTTATTACTTTTTTGTTTTATTATGTATTTTATAGTTGATTGTAATATATCCTTGTCAGGGGTCAATGGTGAAAAGAACAATAACAGAAACAATAATTATTATCTACTGGCAATTGAACACTTGCTATGTTTCACATATTTTGTTGGGTGCTGAGGCTAGAGAGAAATTCAAGTTTCTACAATTCTGCTCAACCAGGCTAGAATTTCAGTCTATGTCTGACTCTAAAGGGCTTGCCTTAATGCTCTATAGTATTCTGACATTTCCTGATTTATGACACTTTAAAAACACTTCTAAGTATTATTCAAATACTGGCAATCATGAAATGTTAATTTGATATGTCTCCCAAGTAATCCTGATAATAGTGGTCACTATTATTACCAGGCAAGATGGAGCACTGATCATTCTACAGTAAGTTATCATAAAAATTAGGTGCTAATAATTCCAGCTATGATGATAAGTAGAGTGGTGGAATGAACAGGTTTTGAACACCAGTTGTTTCCGAATCTAGGTTTTTAGCTTGTGTACATCACTTCAAAATATGATGCTTTGCACTTATTCACTACAAATTCTCAATTTTTTTTCTGTCTATTCACAACTTCTTATGCCTTTTTCATTTTTGGAAGACCTTCTTTGTTATTTATTCTTATTATTATAAAAATAAATAACACATGATATGGCAAAGAAACATTGCATTGAAAATGTTTTAGTGCAACATAAAATAGAAATATAGGATTCATTCTAATTTTAGTATCCAATTCATGTTGACAGTATTTTGGTGGACCAACTTTCTAAAAGTTTAAAATACTTTATACTTTTAGGGTTATTTGTATTGTACATAATCTCTGGAAAGTAATGAAATTTACATGTTGTGATGTAAATTGTTATCTAAAACTACATTAAAATTGAAAATATTTAATTTTTGAAAATCATGATTACTTCTATTGCTTATCAGTCTCCCAGAGTTTTTCTTGAGGCACAAATTGATCTTTCTTTATTCTGTTTTTTTTTGTCTCAAAAACTAATTTATTATTTTGTCAGCTATCCCCTGGTCTCCATGCTGGATCTACTCTGATTCCAATGAATAGCATTTCTCTGCCGCAAGGAGAAGATGATTATGGGTATCAGTGTTTGGAGGGTAAAGATTGTGCCAGCTTCTTCTGCTGCTTTGAAGACTGCAGAACAGGATCTTGGAGGGAAGGAAGGATCCACATACGCATTGCGAAAATTGACTCCTACTCGCGAATATTTTTCCCAACAGCTTTCGCACTGTTCAATCTGGTTTACTGGGTTGGTTATCTTTACTTATAAATTCCATTCCTGAACAAAAATTCATAAGACATCTGGCTAAATCTGATGTAATCTGTTGTACTTCAGGAATAAGAGGGTCAAACTTAAAATGGGGAGAATCCAATGGTTAAAATCTGAATAGTATTATAACTATTTTAAGGCCTTCATAGGTAAATAAAATAACTACTTTTAAATTCATTTACATAAATTTACAGAAAATTCATTAGTTGTCAGATCCAGTATGTTAAAATATTAGTATATATATTATTAATTTATTAGTATTAAATCTTGTTAGGATTTTGAAAGCTTCATAAGTTATGTGATACATATTTTAAAGATGAAATAAATTTAGTATGTATTTTGTTTAAATATAACTATCATTGTATTGGGAGACTAATGCCTAATGTTTAATAACTATTTTGTCTAGAAACATTGCTTACTTGATTTTTTTCCTTGATTTTTATTTATCTGCACTGTTTGGGATGCAGTTTGTTAAAACAAATTTGTAATTTCTTTGAATTTATTTCCAAGATTTTTCATTCCCCAGAAGACACTGTTTTATTATTTTTTTAAAGTTATTTGTTGTGAATTGACAACTTGTAGTTGCATAAATTTTTGGAGTGAAAAATGTTATCATTATCTATGAATACAATCTGAAATAATTAAATCAAAAGCTAGTTGGCAATTACAGGTGACTTATGAAATAGCCAGTATGTATCTGTCATTTAATCCAGTCCATTTCCTGATTCAATATTAAACAAAACTCTGGCTACATTTAGTCTGAGGATCTATAAAATTAGATGGACATAGTCGCATTAGTTTTTTCATAAGCAAGGTGAAAAAAATTCAGGAAACATGTTACACTTATCCATTTTATTTTCTGCCTAATAATATTTATGAAGCATGAAGATGTTAACACTGAAATGCTAAAATCTGCTCACATTACAATTCAATGCAAAAGGAAAAGATAATTGTTTTCTTTAGGTGCTAGAAGAGTGTTACAGTCCCTGAGTTAAGAAGCATTAGGGAAGAGAGGTTACATGTATTCTTTTTTTTTTTTTAATTTTTTATTGTTGGTTGTTCAAAACATTACAAATTTCTTGACATATCATATTCTACATGTATTCTTAATGGTTAAAAGTTATTTAGAAAATTAGATTTCAAGTCATATTGAGGGTATGATCTTAAATACGTAGTATTAACATTTATTAGACCATACATATCTGGGAAACAGTTTAAGGCCTGTGTCACATATTGCCTCTTCCACCTCCAGGATTCTGGTCCAGTTTCACAACTACATTATAAATTTTCTAGAAAATGGGGCAAGCCTCAAAATCATGTTAAAGGTGGAGCTTTTCAGAGGCATCCTGAATGAACTTGAGTGTGGGAGCTCTTTAAATTTCTACAGAAAACAGTAGAAAAAGTGCCAATAAAGTCTCACTATATGAAAAGACTATCAATACTTGCCAACTGTCTCTAGTTAAGAAGGGAATTAAAGTTAGGCTCCAATGATCATATTCCAGTAAGTCATTTAGCATATCAATTTCTTATACAAGCTCCATATTCATTCACCAAAACCTGATTCTGGAGAATCACCACAGTCAGCCAGAAGATAAACTTTAAAAAGTGTTCCCATTGCCAAGAGCAAGATTAGAGTGAAGAGTTTTATGATTGAGTCCTTAAAAGAGTAGAAAATCAAAGGGAATATTTTCCCCAGAAGTCTCACTAAATATAAAGTTTTGATGTCACCTTCATATTTGACAGTTGAGATTTTAATGTGAGTTTCCTCTCCTACTTGGTCAGTGAGTGGGGTTCTGGCATGGTTATACTTGTTTTTGGAACATATAGGATTTTTTACCTGGCTAAATCTGATTTTTTTTTCACTTTGCTTACAAACCTCTGAGAAAAGAAGCAGGAATTAAACAGTAATGACAAATATCCACTGAGACTGCCTTTTTTTAAAAAATGGAAAGCCAATTAAACTTTGGCTGTGTATATATTCATTTGTAGATTATTCATGCATTCAGGTTTATAACATCGAGTACTGGTGGATATTCTAACTTGGACATTCATTTCTGGATAAATGAAAAATAAAGTATCCATGAAGAAATAAAGTACTTCATTAAATTTTTTATGGCTAGTTCACATGTTTTAAGCTATAGCCTGCTCATTATCATGGGGCAGTTTTGACTTTGGGGCTCTTTCAATTGTATCTGAGCATGACTACATTTTAAAATACATAAAATGCTTGATATAAACAGCCTGGATTTTCTCATTGGTGTTTTATTAACTAGACTTCAAATGTTGACAGTATTTAAAAGTGAAAATAAAACTGATGAAAATATAAAATTTGATTTTCTATTTATATTTCTTGTATATACCATAAAAATAAGCCCATTGTTTTCAAAGCTGCTATTATTTTGAGCAGTTTTTATTTAAATATTCAGATCAGAAAGAGAGGTATACAAACTGATTATTTCTAAAAATTAGCATGAAAAGGTCAAAGTACATTTAGACTCTTTTTACAAGAAATCAAAAAGAACTTATTTTCAAATGGGAGGCGATATAATCCTTCTTCCTTTCTTCTTTAAAGTATTAATTTTACCATTTTGGGAAATATGTTTTAAAAAGCTTCCTCTTTTTCTAGGTGAGTTATGTCTAAATTTACTGGGACTTGTGTACCCTGGATGGAAAAAAAAATTAACACTCATACCAAAACAGTGGATATAACAGATGAGAAAGATAACTGAAGCAGAAGGATTTAGTAGAATCATTTTTTTAAAAAAATGTTAATTTATGTAGATGTATCCTCTAAATATATGTCCAAGACGAAAAACTTCTGAAAGAGAAATGAGATTAGCACATTGTTTTTCCATTTAGATTTACAATAACATGGTAACATTTTATGTATCCTTGAACTGCATGGACAAAATTAGGCTCACTTGCAATCAATTACTACAATGTTGAGTTGTTGTTGTTGTTGTTGTTTTTGTTTTAATAGATAATTAGATTTCTGAGAATTCAGTAGGGAAAGGGAATATTTTCCCCAGAAGTCTCACTAAATATAAAGTTTTGATGTAAGCAAAAAAAAATCAGACAATTCTTTGAATGCATTTTATGTTAAGGTAAAGATAGATATCATTATGATGTTTTTAAAGCTGATCAATTCTGAACTAAAGCCCAGTAAATATGTGTAAATAAAGAGGTGACCGTCTGGGCTTTTCACCTTAAGTGTGTTCCCATATTCAGATATCTATGTAGTCATAAAACAAGCCACATCTTTCCTTAAGAACAAGGACAAAATTGAGGACTGCTTTTTATTTTTATTTTTTTAGTTATTGATGGACAGTTATTTTTTATTTATTCATTTATATAGGGTGCTGAGAATCGAACCCAGTGCCTCACATGTTCTAAGCAAGAGCTCTTCCACTGAGCCACAACCCCAACCTGAGGACTGCTTTCTTGACAATGTCTCAAGATCAAAAAGAATGACTGGTAGTATTCTCACACCATGGGGCCCATAAATAAAAAGGTGAAATTGTGTATCAAGTCAATATATTAAGACTAAATACATTCTATACTTTGACTCTATAATAGAAAAGCTTTATGGGATGATTTGTTTGAGTAAAATTGAAACTAACACCTAGTATTTGAATAAACACAGCGAAAGAATAAATATATGCATTACAGTGATCCAAATTCTATATCAGTGCTTATTCTCAGTCTTGTAAACTTTGTTGGAGAAATAAGCCACATCCACAATCATTTCATTGGTCTCAGCACCAGGATCAAAGAGACCCAATTGATGGTTTAATGATTTAGAATTTGTCCCATTTACACATATTATAAATATTACCTCTGACCAAGTATTTTTTTTAATCATTAAATTTATTCAGCTACTTAGTATCTTATTGTATGAAGGTCAGCTCTAATTGGTATTGTCTGTTAGCCATTCTTTGCCTTTTACTGCTAGGGAGGCCTTATCGTGCCACAATGAAGCTGCAAAAACCATTAATAAGTTTTTATTAAAGACATTCCAAATGGACTTTTCAAACACCATTGACCACATTGCTCTTGTAAACATAAGGTTGTCTCTGCTTTTTTTGTGTTTGTATTTTGGAAGTGAAGTAACCTAATTTAAATATTTATGCAGCACTTTCTATATGAAAAGTAATATTCTTTTTAATAGAAAATGTAAAGATGCACTCTCAAGAAAGAGACAATCAAATAGATAAGAGGATTACTCACACAATTCAAGAAAAGGAGAATAATATTGGGAAGATTTCATGGATATATGTTTATATATGGTAATAGGTGAGAAAAACAGAGATCACAACTTTCAGGTGAGAATACAGCTTGCATAAAGAAGCAAAATTATAGAAACAAATGAAAATTTCATTTTAATTATATAATATAGAGACACTTGAAGGTAAGACTGGAAATACAGGCCTTTTTTATGGTGGAGAAGCAAGAATACCAACTTCAGGAGACCAGACATTAAAAATTCATCAAGAGTGCACAGAGACACTTGAATACAAAAGACCCATTATTAAATTGGAGAACTTTCATCTTATTAGTGCATGATCTTGAGAATAAGAAAAATAAGGAAGCTAATAGATTTTAGAAGTGTAGAAGCTGAGGGATGAAGATCAGTTCTCAATTCCAGAAGTTTTCAGTGGATGGGGGAGAGATCACCTTGATTAAGAAAGAAAAGTGGCAGACTTTAAGCAATGATTCATAAGCAACATTAACTATAAGACCTGGCATGTGTTTGGGGGATCCTTTCTTTAATACTTGTCTGTGTGTAAATAGACACTAACACACTACAAAGAAATTCTACTTGTGTTACAATCTTGTTTGCTGTTAATCCTGTGATTATTTTTTTTTAAGGATCTGTGTTTTTTCCTGAAGTGTAAATCATAGGTGGTCTGTCCAGATTACTATTTTAATTAAATCTGACCCTTATTGAATGGATTTTCTCTTCAAGTAGACTATTCTGTCTTTCTAGCTGAGACACACACATACACATTTTATATATATATATATATATATATATATATATATATATATATATATATATACACACACACACACACACACACACACACACACACATGGGCAAGGAAAGGAAGAGACGAGAAGCATAAATAGAAATAAGCCACTCTAGTGCCATACAAATCCAGGAAGTTGATTTCTGATCCTCAAACAATTTCTGAAACATTTGACTTAATAAACAAATGAATATTTATTGTTGGACAATGAAATGTCCCTGGACCTTTTGACTTTGAGTAGTAAATACTGTGATAACTGGAATGTAGTCGAGCAGAAAGGAATAATGGACAGAATTTTAGGACACTATTGGCCTAAATGGAAATTTTTTCAATCTCAATAAATTGCTGTAATAATGGCTATTTGCATCCATTAAGTGTATGTAGTCACTTCACATAATAAAGTTTTACAGCTTGTGATGAAAACTGCTTTTGCTTTATTTCTGCTTCATGATTTTGAGAAGCATTTGTAAGTGTGTGGCAAAAATATTTCGATTTTTCCAAGTGTTCTGTACATTCATGATCCTAAGTACAAACTAAACTTAGTAACTTGTTGTGAAATAAAAAGTTACATGTTACCATCTCTTAAAATGTGTCCTGTTTTCATATAGATATCTCCCTGAGTTGTTTCAGAGGGTGTGACCATGACTTTAGCACTGAAGTTAATTTCTGATCAATGTTATTTCAGTTTTTTAATTAATGAATTAATTAAAATTTTTCCTTGATAGAGAGTTTTAAAAAGAAATTGAACCATAAGATGCTAGGCAAATATAACTAATACTTACATTTTCACTGCTCAGACCATAAATTTCTAGATTATTCCAGCAATTTGTGACTTCCTCCTAATCTGAACTGTCCAGTAATCTTACTCAGGTAAATTGATGAGAATAATATACATTAGGAAAAGCACTCAGAACATTGCAAATAACTCATGATATGAGAATGTCTGTTTTCACTTAAGAAAAAAGTTACTGAAGGAAAATTGAAAGCCAGAAAATCAGGAAAATAATTTATCTTTTTAAAATTTTTTTTAAATATATTTTTTTAATCTTCCCACTTCTCTCTTCCCTGACTCCAAAGTACAGTCTTAAAGAAAAAGTTGGTGGTCCTTTGGTAAGGTCCAAAGTAGCAGATATACTATTTGCATAAAAAGCTGTAGAATGAAGGAAATGACTTACTATTTCTTGAGTACCTGCTTGTTTCTGCAACCTTAAATGAATTAGTTGTTAATTATTTAGTCTTCAAAGAAAGGAACTCTGCTTAGCAAATAGGAAAATTGAGGTTCAATATAACATGTACGTTCTCCAAGCTCATATATCTGTAAGCTAAAATCAAATTTAGGTATGTCTAGCTATAAAGAGCCTTATCTTTCAGTTATAAAGAATTACTTGAATGGCAAAGTGATTGCTCATATTCATTTCAACAGTAGATATGCAATTCTTTCACAAATGGGAAGTAGGGAACTGAAAAACCACACAGTCCATTTCATTTAAAGCAAAAATTTACTATTCTATATGATTCATTAATAGCCTTTACTTATTCTTTCCAAAGTGGATTTTTATTTCACTTTTAACATATTCTAAAAGCCCTTTTAAAAGGACTCCTGATGGGCTGGGATTGTGACTCAATGGCAGAGCCCTTGCCTCACAAGTATGAGGCACTGTGTTTGATCTGCAGCACCACATCAAAATAAATAAATAAAAAATAGTGTCCATCTATAAATAAAAAAAATACTATTTTAAAAAAAGGACATCTAATATCCAATCGAAATATAAAGTGTTGGCTTTTTAGAAAAGGGATCCACAAACTATGGTCACATCAATGGTTATTGGGTAAGGGACACACCCACTATTAACATATTGACTATGGCTGCTTTTATGCTATGACATAGCCCAGTATGTGCAACAGAATCACATGACCTGTAATGCCTTAATATTGACTCTGTGACACATTACAGGAAGAATTTGGAAATATGGAGATGGTTTTAATTCAGAAAAACTTTACTATGCTAACTAAAAGGACCATATTTAAAAATATGCATTTTCTTATATATTTTAACTTTGAAAGAAAAAGGTCTTG